TGAAATCCTATCTTTAAGTTTGGAGCATTAAAAAAGATAACTTTTCAGTGGAAATGCTTATATTATTCTGTAATCAAGGTCAGTCTGCATTTGTTTGCAGTGAAAAAGAAAACACCTACTTCTGTCAATGTTTTTTCTTTGCAGTGCTTTAAATGGCTGCAGAAGGAGAATAACTGAATTGCGTGCAGCTTCATTTGCTGTTCCATGAGCTTGTAACTGCTTATTACTTTCACTGAAACTCATTTTTCCTCAATTTGCACTCTTCATGGGCCATCTTATATACAGGTAAACAGAAAACCACCTTTGCATATGTACATAAGATACATGAAGGTCCATGTAAGGTATTTATCCACTAGCCAGATAAAATACTATTTCAAGGAAACTAATGAAGCTGCCTTCTCTGTTACATCGATTTTGAATTTTTTAAGTGTACTTAAAAAAGGATCTTTCTTAAATGCTTTGAATTCTTCAAGTGCCAGAGTTCAAATCAGACTTTTTTTTTTTTAAATCTAATTTACCAGTTAAGAAATGCTGCAGCAGTTGGTGTTTGACATCCTTTATGCACATCAGTTACGTTTTCCTGCAGTTGCAGGGTGGATGCTGTGATTCTTAAACACCAGTTGCGTGTAATTTGATGTGCAGTTTTCAGTAGGATAAATGATTTCATCTCTGCCCCTGCTCTGAACTCAGCAGAACTGACGTAATGTATATGGAGCCCACACCCTGCTGCCACAGCGCTGATCCAGTTCTGCAGAGAAGCATTACAGTTATATGGGTCTCTTGAGCAACAAAGCTGCAGTAAGAGCCAGCAAGTGACTTTTCTAGTACCTGAGAGCTGTGGAGTACAAGATGCTTTTCCTGAGGGCTCCAGCAAAAGATCCCTCATGCTTGGCTTCTCAGCAGGGTATTTAGCTCTCAGATTTCAATCTGATGTATGATATGCATGAAGGTACTCCCAGTAGTACCAACACACCATCATCTTATAAACAAACAGCCTGCCAAAGCTGTGCTTGCTCTTACTGGGAGCTGGGACCTTAGCTCTACCAAATCATACACTGCATCAGACCATGACCAAACTGTGAAATTAAGATGGAAAAGAAAAACCTGAGTGAGTTGCAGGACTTATTTTTTTTGTTTGTTTTTAACAAAGAATATTCTGTAAGCGAAGTCGTAAGTATAAGGCTGCCTTAAACTTAACAAATTGAGAAGAATCAAAGTTCTTTTATCTCCCAGTAATATTTTTTTACTTACAGTCTTTTTTATCTCATAGTTTATTTGGTGATGTACTTGTTCTGCAGCACAATCAGAAGCAATGTATGTGGTGGCATTGTGTCAGGGATAATACTAATGGTAAAAGCTGACTTTTTCAGTTTCCTTATTTCTATTTGTAGTCTAAGTCATTGTTATGGGCTTTTTATATATATAAAAGTAATGATTAGAGATGGCATCAAATCATACACTGAATAACTGTCTAGATATTTCTGATTTCACACACGGTCTCTGATTCTCTGATTTTTGCACATGGTGTCATATCTTTTGCAGTAGCTTAAATTCATTTGATTTATGCAAAAAAAAAAAAAATAATAATGCTGTTTTTAAGCTGAAGGCATGGTGGTTCTGTTCTGTTTGCTTAGTAGTAGTAGCATCCTACTAGTCTGGATGGTGTTTTTAAGAGTTGGTCTTATCTTCAGCTTTGACTTCAATCCAAACTTCAGCTAAGTGAAAGATTAAATCGGTTTTTCCTTGTTTTCTTTTACTTTAATTACCAACATATTTAAATTGCTTTAACTAAAATCTGCATGTAGTTTTCCTTATGAACCATATGTGTATGTACATGTATGTATTTATGTTTTACTAGCATACGTCTCTCTAAAGGATAGCAATAACAAAAAATGGTAATAGGAACCCACAGTCTATTGTTCTTGTTGAAACGATGTTATACTAATGTGTAAGTTAAGATAAAGTTCCTTATTAGTCCATGATTAAAAAATAAATAAATAAAGAGTTTGGTGTTATTCCATTAGAGAAAAGAGAGAAATAAAAACGGCATAGTGGCTAGTGATGACAGTAATTGGGTTTTAAACCTTCTAATTGTTGTAACATGACTTTGAAAATGTTGGTTACAAACTTTTTAATCACTTTAATAATTTGGTTGTTGTCAACTGTGAAAGACCTTTTTTGAAAAGACTTTTTATCTCTAGTGCATGAATAAACATTGCTGAACTTACTCAATGCATGTACTATGATAAGTAATTCCAGAAAATTTAACTTGGTGCAGAAGGGTCACCATAGCAAGCGTTCCAGTAGACTCTTTGAAGAGTCCTTCATCTGATGTCTGCAGGCCTGGTAATTGGTATTGAGACCCCAAATCCATCTTCCAGCTTGAACCAGCTGAATGCTTTCAGTACAACTTACTCCTTATGTTTAAATTCAAAATGAAACTACATGATACTGTTTCCCTAGTCTTCAATTTGTTTTTCGTGAGGATGAAAGCTTCAAACTGCAGAGAGACGTGGTCAGTCTGGTGTGACTGCTTTTTACCTGTAGCATTTGACAAACAGAAGTGTTTTGCAAATAGACAGGGAGACAGAATGCCTTCTTTCAACGCATTGCCACGTTAAAGGAAAGGAAAAGGGAAGATATTGTGAACATGAATGATTAAGAGATGTTCTGCACTGATCTGGCCAATTCCTTATTTTCCTCTTCCCTCCTAGGAGTCAGCCTACAGATGATAAACTATTGATTTAAATGGCTGAGTTGGATTAACAACTTTCTTCCAATCCATATTCAGCAGGATAGGCCCCATTATTCATGATTAATCATTGATATGCCAAGTCCAGTCTCTTTCCCTTCTAGGAGCAGATGGTGGCACACAAATGATTTACGAGGCAGTCGAGACACCTCGGCTACTATTCCAGACTTGTGTACTGTGCTCTGAAACCCAATTCATTTGTGGCTTTAAGAGCAAGGTGGCAAATTATCTCCATGACCAACTGCTTAGTGGGAGTTGATCTTAAGAGGAAACATAATGCACGCAGTGTTTAAAAACACATTCAGACGTATGCCACAGGTCGAAAATGGTGGTGTCATTTATTTCTTGCTTCTTGAAAAGTCTAGGGAATGGATTATCTTCCTTGATACACATAAATCTAATTCCAGGTCCTCCTCAACAAAAGTAATGGGAAATGAAATCCCGGTGCACTTTCATAACTGTAAATTCTTAAGACAGGGTACAGGGAGACACTTAGAACGCCACCCTCAGCAAGTAGCAGCCTACTGACTGCAAAAATAAAATGTAACTTGTCATAATGAAATTGTTTTATTCATTAATGTAGTTGGTAGTATTCAAAGACTTAAAATTACATGAAAGGCATTGTTATAGGGTGGGAGATTAACTTTCTGCTTAAAACTGCGTGAGGTGCAGGAACTTAAAGGCAATGTCAGGCTTAGTGGGCAGTGCTGTTTTATTAAACTCTACCGTGATTCATAGTCATTGCAGAAGAACACAGAACAGCTGAATCTAGTCTGGTGAGCCCTTCGTTATGATACTGTGAAAGTTTTATTTCTGGCTAGAGAAACTGGACCTTACTTCCTGGCTCTTGGCTGAGTAGGGTTTTATTTTGAGCTGGCCAGTTCCTATGGCACTTATTGAGCAAAAGCTCTTGTGTGCAATGTCGAATTTTAAAAAGGGCTTAAAGATTATGTTTATTTAAGTTTCCTTCCTTTAAGTAGGAACTTACCAAATAACAAATATTACATATATACTTAATAATACATTTTTAATAATTTTGCTGTCAAGGTCTTGTTTGCTGCTTCTGGGTTTTTTTCTTTTTTTCTTTTTTTTTTTAATGGCTTATGACTAGTACCTGAAGCCCAAACAACTGTTTTGTTACCATCAAACAACTCTATCCTACTTCAGTTCCAAAAGAGAACTTCTTCACAATGAAGCAATACATTGTCTTGTTGAAATATTAAATCAGACCTTGAAGAAGGAAAGCTTTGGATCCTACTTCTCTACCATGTGTACGAATGGTTCACAGAAAAGTGAATATAAGTATCATAATGAATGCTTTCATTCTTTTACATAAGGTATTACTTTTCACAAAGGTATTCATAATAAAAATCAAAGACTCTTTTCCTTGTTACTTTAAGGAACAAGTGCAAAAATAAGTATTTTTATTTCTGGTGTGTTTTGGTTTTTTTGTGTGTCCAGCTAAAGTTTGTTAGTTTCTGTTTGTTTTACAGCATACAGAGAATTTCAAGTTTTGTTGTTTTTTTTTTTTTTTAATCTCTGTAACTGCATTTGTATGCAGATCTGTAAAAAGTAATTAAAACATGAAGTTGTATAACTGAGAGTCTTCCCACAAACGTAATTAAATTTAAAGGGAAAGCAAAAACTGTAGGTTGATTCCCTTTAATTATAACTCCCCTTCAAAACACAGTATGCTAAAGAAAACCCGGAGCAAGTAGAGTGCTTCCTGTTTGTATTTGTAAGTGCTGGAGCCCACGTTCGTACGATCTTCAGCAGTTTCCACCCACCGTCACTTTTTTTTTAATTTTGCAACATAACATTCATCGTTGCAGCTTCTGCTATATGTTGATGATAATATTTCTAGTTGGTTAGTGGTTCAAAACTTGAACACAATAATGGCAAAACTGAATTTTTCCCCTTAAGGTTAGGTGTGGAGCCAGGCTATTGTTACCACAAGTAACAATAAAGAAAAGTAGGAATGATCTGAGGCTTAGCTTTAATAAATTTCCAGAGATGCTGTGACCATTTATGTATTCAAAGCTTTATTCCCATTGGGGAGGCATTCAGGTATCATTGAGCTCCATTTACAAGTTGTCTTTGTTTGTTTGTTTGTTTGTTTGTTTTCTGATGTGAAGAACAGCTTCCTTAGAAGCAATAATCATGTGATTTAGTTTTGTGGGTTTTTTTAAATAGAACAATTCAGTGCCTTTTTCCAAATGGTTAATCATGAGTCATTTTCTTTTTGTAGGAGTTCTCTGGAATCTTTCTTCCTGTGATGCACTGAAAATGCCAATCATCCAGGATGCCCTCGCAGTGTTGACCAATGCAGTGATTATTCCTCACTCTGGATGGGAAAACTCTCCGCTCCAGGATGATCATAAAATACAACTTCATTCATCACAGGTGCTGCGCAATGCCACTGGGTGCCTAAGGTAAGTACAGCCAAACATTTGCTTTGCCGGAGTCATCTTGCTTTGGCTTGAATTGCTATTTCTCATTCTTAGATGTCTGTAAAATAAATAATTCCTGTGTCAGCAAGGAAGATGACTTTCAGTGCTATGAACTGTCAAGTCAGAAATTAATTAGAAAACAAGCTTCATGCCATTCAAAAGCAATCCCTAGAAGTTTGCCACTTTTCTTAATAGCCTTGACCAGTCTTCTCACCAAAGCTTGTATATTGCAGATGTTTTTTTCCTTCTAGATTTTTCCCATTCTCTCAGTTCCCTAAGTGAAGTCAGTATGTTCTCACTGTTACATCCAATGTACTTAATGTAAAAAGCAGTGAAGATGTTTAAAAAAAGTAACATGCCTTGAGGGTTCCCAGTGCCATTGGTGAAGTTATAATAAATATATTGGATAGATTTTTTCTGCTCTGTGAAGATGAAAACCATGGTGGAATTAGAAACCAATCAGATAAAAATTATGCAACTCGCATACCTAAATGGATCATTAAGTATATGTTATGTGTACCAAATATATATATGCAGTACCAAGTTGTACTTGTATAAATAAGTGCAGCATGATGAATCTGTTCTTAAACACCACCGTAGGTGTGAGAACAAAAATAGGATGAGTAAGAAGAGTTTCATTTCTGACAAACCCTTACAAAAGGACTAAATCTGCAGTCTCTGAATTCCAATCCATATCAGTGTGTTGATGTATTTTAACTTATTAGGCAAGTTCTTCAAGTGATGATTTTGTTTTTCTGTTTTTATACTGGAGTTTCTGTAATCTGTCTCAGACACTTGTTATGAAGATGAATTAAGTAGTAGCTTTAGGTACTTCACAGGAAAATTTTTAGGTGAATAGTATTTAGTGATGATACAGCACATGTTCTTTGTTCATCCAAAACAAAAATCCATTGGATAGAGATAAATCAAAAAACATTATTTGATTATTTTCTTAGGAGGCAAATAAAATTGCAGTGTTTTCTTATGTGTAACAAGCACCTTTTTCACCTTGTGTTTTTTCAGTAAATGAACTGTCTTCCTTTTAGAATGAAAAATGGAAAGTTTAAGGGAAAAATAATAATGATTATTGATTTTTATATGTAATCAGTAGACACTTTAATATAGAAGGTAATAATTTATTGTAAATATACTTGTATTGGACTTAAATATAGGTATGTATATGTGTATATCAGCTGCACCAGGTTATGTGGTTGGAGCTAGGTAATTACATCTGAGTTGTACTGATTTGGAAATAACTATGAAAAGAGTTTCATGGTATATTTCTGTTGCATTACATTCAAATCCCTAAAAAAATACTGGTAGAATTACATTGGTTATTCCATAAGGACTTATACCATTTAGTACTTTTCACACTTCCGATGCTTAGCCTCAGTTAAATAGCAACCTCTGAAAAAATGTCTATTATAAATTTGGGCCTTTGCAGGTTCCCCTTTCTGAACATGCATATTCAGTGTTGGTTGCCTACACCACAGATGTCTTCCTGTTAACTTACTCCAGCTTCTTTTCCCACCCCTGACCTTGCAGACCTCAGTTGTTCCCACCTTTTAGTTGATGATTCGTGTCACATTGGTCTTGAAATCTTTCTTTCTTTCTTTCTTTTTGTGAGTATGTGCACGCCCATTTGCAAACTGATGTGAGCTTACTGTAGCCTGCACTCTGGGTCAGCCTGAGGACTTGTGGCCACATGAGAATGGTACGTTGTCTGATACAATACACACTGCTTTGCAGCAAGGCTTACTGCCAAGTGCTTGATAGTACTCTGTCATAGCAGAATGGCTTCTGATCGGCTCTTGCAAAATAAGCTCATATCTACCTGCAAAAGATTGTGCATATTATACCTCTTGAATCCTTTCCAGATAGCTGCAATAATTCAACTGCTTGTCCTAAGCTGGTTTGTCTTCTTTCCTTGTAACCCTAGGCCCTTGAACCATGTGAAGGCTTTTTAGTGACTTTCTGATCTCAAGCCCTTCTTATTTCCCAGGTGCATCTTTCCTCTGTATCTGATTGAGGTATTTATTTGGCCTTTGTCCATCTTTAGATAACGTCATCCCACTTAGTCCATGTGGATGCTCTTTAGCAAAGCCAGAACATTTGGAAAGGGCTGAATTTACTTTTGCTTTATTAGCAGAAATTTTCTTGTTTATCTCCTCAGTCTTTACAGGAAACCTCTCCCTCTGAAGAAAATGTAAAATTTGGGACTGTACAAGGAACAAAAGTATTAGCTGATGTTTAAGGAGCTGAATGGTTGCTTTTGTGTGGGTTTTTTGTTGTTGTTGTTGGTTTTTGGTTTTGTATTCATATAAAATAGTGGGGTTGAAGAAAACAGTGAATGACAGAAAGATTAGAAAGCTGAGTTTTACTGCTGCTGATGAGAGCAGTGCACCTCTGTGCTGCTAGTATGCTAACTAACATTCCTTAAATACCTGCCACCCCCAATAAGCTTGAAACAGTTTTCACTCCTTCCCCCTATGACTAGGTACAAGCTTCAGATTTCCATTTCAAGATCTCACAGTTTCGGGAGATATTATAAAGCAAGAAGATAAAATGTACTGGCAAAGACACTGCAGTGCTTAGCTCATAAACTCCATTGCTATCTTCCATGGGATAACTAGCTCTCAGACTCCTGTTTGGTTGTCCTCTACTGCTTTCTTTTTCCCCTTCTTTTTGAGCTGGTTTGCAAGGGGACATTGATTCATAGCAGTTGCACCCAGATTTTCAGTGGTAGTGCTCAGTAGCATAGGAAAGCTATTTGACAAATGTTTCTAAATCAGTAATGTTGACAGATTTTAGAGGCATCAGGCAGCATTACATAAGGTTTAATGCCACCAGATATGCTAGGAGGCTTTTTTTTTTTTTTTTTTTTTTTTTTAAATCTTCTGTGCCTTTGTTTTTCTGATGCATCCACTGTTAAAGCTTTAAGGAATATCTGAGAGGTGCTATAATATAATCCTTCCTATGTGGAGTGCCCATAAATAGTTTGCATTGGCTATTATATAGGAATAGTAAGATCTTTTATATATGCATTGTATGATTATTTTTCTTTCTGCTATTTTCCTGTTTCTCAATTTCTATATGAGATTTTTTTTGTCTTTTTCAATTACATAGTTGCTTATTAACTATGATTTTAGTACTCTTACCTTAACTCTTTACAATTCTTAAGGAAATTCTTAATACATTTTTTAAAATGCTGAGTGGGACAACTACTGCAACTTCAATCAAACTGTAACCCAGCTGAAATCTGTATGAAATCACATGAAAGACAGCAGCAAAATCAGATGTTCTATTCCTGTTATAATCTTTCTTGAAAGAGGTTATTTACAAACTGCACGGTTGTGCACTTTAAAAAGAAAGTAATACGCTATTGTGCTAGTTCATTTAATATAAGTTAAATATTTGAAATTGTTTAGATAATTCAGATAAATACTTCTTATTTCTGTCAATTATAAATTCGCTCTTAGTATTCATAATTCAGAAACTGCCAGGCCTCAAAGTGACATATTGAAGTAATCATCCAATTTACTTGCCGCTCCACTGAGGTATCAGGACATTACTTCAGTAAGCTCTGTGAATGTTTGGCTTCTTTTTTCCTTTCAGGTTCAGCTGTGACTGATTTATTTGCACTTGTGAAATACTGTCTGTTTGTTTTGTACCTTCTAGTTCATGTAGTCTTCCCAGGGAAATTCTAGTGAAAGCTGAATTTTGAGTCCTATTTGTTTATAGTAAGGCTTATAGTGTCCTTACTCTGAAACTTAATAATCAACAGGAGGCATTTTGCACAACATACTTTTGACCTGATCTGTCAAGCTTACATATTACAAAACTGTATCTCTGTGCAAAAACCATCCAAAAAAATCTCTAGCAGTATCTTTTCAAAAGTCTTTTTCCTGATGTACAGTTTGGAATCTGGAGAGGCTGTGGGTTTTTTTCCATGAATTTGACATGAGGTTAAGGTAATAGAATGTCACCTGAGGACTTCAAGGATTTTAAGAAAGTATTGCTTTAATGTTCTAAATCTGTATTTTAAAATTCAAAATCATAAAATTCTGCCCTTTTCTTTTTTCCATGTTCTATTTAATTTTTCATCATATTAAAATCGATATATTAAAATATAGATCTCCCTTTACATTATTGGATTTGAAACTGTATAGGAGAGAATAACTCAAGTACTTTTTCTTTGTAGAGTTCCATCCCTTTCACATTTTGCTGTTTCATACTTTCATGCTTGTCAGATCTTTCACAAAATGCCAAGAATTATTTCTTTCAAATGGAAACACACATAGCAAGCGCTCAGAATAGAAAAGCAAAGGGGTGTAGTGCTTTTAAAACATGGATTGAATGCAACAGAACCAGTAGTATTTTCTGGATAGATCAACTTTTGGAAAGAACAAATTACCTTTTCACAACAATTTGTTTTAATTGTGAAACCTGAAAGCAAGTGTTTTTAACTGCTTTGCAGATGAATGATCTGTTTCACAAACATTTGCAGCTAATGCATTTATCCCTCAGCCTTATTTCTCTTCCAGCTCTCTTCTAAGCATCCTAAGACTGTTAGTTCATATTCTTAGGAACTTCTATAATCTCTTTTGAAAATGACATTCTGCTGCATACTGACAATAGAAAATGTGTGAGCAGCATAAAATAGATAGTATTATTTGCCATATGTTCAGTTTCTAAGAAAAAGTACATATACGTGTGTGCAGAAACTTGCTTTGATATACATACGAAACTTCTTAGGATACTAAACTGGTACATGTGTACATATATGTATGTACATTTGTATAAATATGTAAGAGGACTGATTGATGAAGCTAAAACATGTTTTTGTCTTTCTTGACAATTTCAAGTTCTGAGTATCTTCAATTGGGCATAAATGGAATGAACTTACTGCAGTAGGACCAGGGCCTTTGCAGCTAATTTCTTTTTTTATTCTTCTCCCATGAACAGCAGGCAGAGTTTTTTCA